ATGGAGGCCCAGAGAAGCCATTGTGTGAAGCCTAGATTTCATTGGAGACCCCGAGATGTTGGAGATGTCAGAGCCACGGGATGCCTGCCAAGACCTGCTAACAGGGAGTGGAACCAGCCCAAGAGAAGGAAGTGTGTTGCAGTCAACAAAGCTGAATGGAGTTGGAGATCTGAAGAGTGTTTCGACATCAGACATGGAGATGCAGAATTTGGAGTTTGCCCAGCTGGTTTTCAGTCCTGCTTTGGCCCAGTATTTCCTCACTGGGCTCCTTTTCCTCCCTTTTGGAATGGCAATGCATATCCTGTATTGGAAGTATGTGATCTGCTTTTTGATTTTGATTTTACAGGGGTTACAGTTAAGAGATTGCCATGAGTCTCCAATGAGACTTTAAAATCTAAACCTTTAAAGTGTTGTTCCCAGTACCCATGTCAGGCAGTTCCCACCCCTGTAACGCCAGCTCCGGGGGATCCGGTGCCCTCTTCTGGTCTCCACAGGCATATGCACTCATGTGCACACAGACACACAGACGCACGCACATAACTTAAAATGCATCTTTAAAATACAAGCAAATGCTGGAGAGAGTTAGTTCAAGATGGGGGCGGGGCGGGATCCCTCAGACCCTGCAGGAAGTATGAACCAGTGCGGCCACTATGGAAACCAGTATGGGGTTCCTCGGAAACTAAAAGCAGAATCACCATAAAGCAGACCACCACTCCTGGGCGCACACACGCCCAACAGAGCTGAGCCGACACACTAGCTGCATGGTTACCGTGGCATTGATCCCCAGAGCCTGTAACGGAACAGCCTGTCACCACAGGAAAGGGGTTAAGGTGGATGCGGTATAGGTGCAGTGCAGACGATTTAAAAGAGCCAGAAAGGGTGAAATTCCATCATTTGCTGGAAAATGGACAGATGCTGGAGAAGCAGCAAATTTAACGAAATCAGTCAGATTCATAAAAACATGTGTTCTCTCACATGTGGAAGCTAAAGAGAGAGTGTGAGTACGTGTGTGTGTGTGTGTGTGTGTGTGTGTGTGTGTGTGTGTGTGTGTGTCTCGGGGTGGGTAGAACTGAGTAGGAAGAGGAATGAATCCCAGGAAACAGGAGACAGTTATGGGGGAGAATGTGGCCACAGCACACAACTGAATAAAAATGTCACTATGAAGCCTGGCACTTTGTACACAAATACACACTAAGAAAAAAATCTGACTTCAGAGTTTCCATTGTAGTTGGAAAGATCACACCATATGCATTCTCTACTCAACCATATTCACGGACGTCTCAGTCCAGACTTAATCGGTGGAAGTGTGGCTGAGAAGACAATGTTCTCTTTTTCCCTTTGAGACAAAGTCTCACGTAGCCCACCTTAGTCTTGGACTCACTATATGGCCAACACTGACCTTTTATTCCTGATCCTCCTGCCTCCACCTTCCAATGTCTAGGATTCTATGCATATCATCACACTGGCTAGAAAGACGTTTTCTGTATCTAAAATTCAGATATGTAGACTAAAAAAATATTTAAAAATTATTATATAAAAAATTTATAAATATATAAAAATTAAACTAAATAGCATTATAGGTTGAATATAGTACTTTAATGTTTTAAAAAGTCTAGTAAGGGGGACTAGAGAGATAGCTCAGCAGTTAAGAGCACTGGTTGCTCTCCAAAAGGACCTGAGTTCAATTCCCAGTACCCACACAATGGATAGTCATCTATAAATCCAGTTCTAGGGGATCCAAGGCCCTCTTCTGGCCTCCTCAGGTTCTAGGCAAGCACATAATACACAGACATACATATGGACAAAACACCCATATACATAAAATAAAAAATAAATTCTAAAAGAAATGTAAGTAAAGTATCTAATTATCAGACTGTCCCAGGAAATTAAGTCATCAAGTCCCCACACACATACCATGAACAGAGAGAAAATGACACTGACCTTGGATGAATTAGTCCCAACTTTCATTCTTTGTTTTTTGATCATGACAACACCTACAAATGTCCTAGAATGTGACCATCGCACTGTATGAAATACTTTGATCTCCCACCACCATCACACAGGGACATTGCTTCAAAGATTTCATAGTCAACTTTTAAAATAATCTCATAGAGTAAGAACAAATTACAAAACTGAAGAATTAAAAAAAACAAGTATGCTGTAGAAAATATGAAAATGCCATTTATTTACCTTATTTACTAAATGATTAGCTATAAACATCCAATTTTGCCTTGCAGTTTAAGGCAATATCCATTTTTTGTAGTTGAATGATAAAACCAGCACCTTTTTCAGTGTGTCCAGTGCTTAACTGATCACTTACATTGTATGCACTGCATCTAAGAACCACAGTTCACCTTCTGCACTGTGTCCAGTGCTTAACTGATCACTTATATTGTATGCACTGCGTCTAAGAACCACAGTTCACCTCCTGCACTGTGTCCAGTGCTTAACTGATCACTTACATTGTATGCACTGCGTCTAAGAACCACAGTTC